ACATGTGCTGGGTTCTTGGCCAGGCTGCAGTGTGTTATGGTAAACAGGTGGGCGTGGTGAGCACGTAGAGCTCTCTGACTTGACAAGGAGGGTTCCAATCCATAGATAACCAGTTTGGAGTCATTACAAGCTGAGGAACATGAACAGTAGAGGGTTGCTGTGGAGACGCTGTTTAGTTCTGGTGGTATGGAAAGGTGCCTCCTAGGAATTCATATTTTGGCTGAGTCTTAGGTGAGAAGAGCTAACCTTACAGAGAGGCTGAGGAAGAGGAGAAGGAAGCAGTAGCTTACAATAATACTTGCTTCAGAGATTGTTTGGGGACTAAATGTGAGATCGTCAAGTCCTTGGCACATAGTAATTGTTCAACACATGCTGGCCTTCTTCCTTTACCTTTGCTGATTCTTTCTAATAGGGTGATCAGAGGCTGGTTGTCATGAGGTAGGCAAGGAAGAAACCAAGGTTCGCAGAAGCCAAGTGACTTCTGAAATCATCAGAGGAAGCCCAGGATTAGAACTCAAAACGTTTGCATTTCCATCTGTTCCTGAGAGTTTATGTATTCAGTACAGAAACTCAGTACTCAGTTTGGCTCAGAATCTGGAAACTGACCTGTGTACCCAGAGATGGAAAAGGACCCAGGAATTCTTAGGGGCAAAGCCTCCTAAGTCACCCTGCAGCAGCAGTGACAGCACAATAAAGTCAGAAAACTCCCAAGCTTTAAGGAGGCTCAAGGTTTGAGACCCAATTGTAGATCTGTTTGTCTGCTCTTGAGCAGTTGAGTCCTTTCAGAGTTTCTTCACCCATCAGAGGTCTGTTTATCAGCTAAGGCTCTTGAGTAAGAATTGGGTTACTTCATCTTTTGGGTATCCCAGAGGCAAGGTGCAAAGAATAGAGACTTTGTAGCAGGAGGCAGTATAGCTTAGCGATTAGAAGTGCAGACTCTGAAGCCAGACCACCTGCATTTGAACTCCACCTGTGCTGCTAGCTGAGTGACCTTTGGCAAGTTACTTTTATGGATTATATATCACTATGTGTGAAACCAACCCAAAACTTAATGGCTTTAAAAAAAAAAAAAGGCTATTTCTAAAAACCTCTCATGATTCTGTGGGCTGACTGGGCCCAGCTGGGTGGTTCTTCTGCATCATGTGGTGTCAACCAGGGCTTGACTGAGCTGGATATCCAAGATGGCGCTCTCATTTGTCTGGCAGTTGGTGCTGGCTGTTCACTGGGACCTCAGATGGGATGATTGATCAGAATACTTCATGTGGCTTCTCCACCTGGAGAAAGTATAAGCACCTGAAATCACTGAGACTGAGTGAGAGGCTGCTGAGTAGACTAAGAGATGTGGTTTGGGCTCCTGACATCTTCACTTCCTCTATGTTTATTCACAATGATCTATCTTGTCCTTGCCCGTGAAGTAGGGGCACATGTCTGCCCACTCACTGTGGAAGAGCTTTGTGGATGGAGTAGGAAGCCTTTGATGATACTGGGTGATGGTGTCATACTTGCACACCCCTCTGGACTAGAAGTGAGGGAGGCTGCTATGAGGGGAGGGTTCACTGTCCATCTTTGTCACCCCGTAGCTTGGACCCTTATTCTGCCAATGGGAGGAGGTATAATTTTTTCCCTATGACTTTGGCAGATTGGCTGCTTTTCTTTTTCTCTCCCTCTTCTTTCTTTTTTATTTAAATAAAATTTATTCAGCATAGAGTGAATAATTTCCATTTTTTCTTGACAGAACCTCTAGTATCCTCCCAGGTTTGAGGACTTGTCAGTCAAGATGGCAGCGTGGGCCTGTGTCAGAGTTCTGTGCTGGCACTGGGGTCAGAATTTCACTATGAGGGAGAGAGTTGTTGACACTGGCCTGTCCCTGCTCCCCACCTCCCCACTAAAACCCAGAAAATCCTGAGTCAGGGGAGATGATGGGAACTTCTTTGCTGATATAGCCCAGAAGTTGACTCCCTGTTGGTCTTATCTGCCATTTCGCATCCTTGTGTGTGCGCACCGAGGGTGTTTGCTCCGGCATGATTCAGGAGTGCTGGCTGCTGTTGCTCTAGTAACGGGCTCTGCCTTTTCCTGCACCTGAAGACTGCCAGGTGAGTGGCCCGACCACAGGCCAATGGAGAGCTGCCTTCTCTGCAGGGTCAGGAAGAGGCGAATGGAGATAGCTGTGTATGCTCATGGCTGGTTTGTGCCCCATAGCGAGGGTAAACTAAAGAGAAGTCTGAATCCCAGGGATGGGTTCTGCAAGATTCCCCAGACTTCAGGAGGTCACAGCGGGTGTTTGTGACCAGTATCAGTAGAAAGTTGATTTTTCTTACAAAATAATCTCTGCTCTACACTCTCTTTATTGGCAGAATATAAAACAGAATTGGCTTTCTAAAGGTCTGCTGTCAAATCTAGCTAATATCTGGCTTTCGTCTTGAAAGACAGCGAGAAAGGAGAAAATTTGATGTTGAGTAAGCTTGGCCTTTAATTATTATGATGCATTTGCTACAAGTGCCTGGTCTTGTTATCAAGTTATATTCCACAGAGGTTAGAAAGTTCCCAAATGCTTTTTCCAAGCAGCCTCTCTGGTACTCACGTAGACGCACAAAAACTCCTGGTTTACTGATCCCAATAATGCCACGTAATTAGAAGAAAAGCCTCTAAGTCAGAAGGATTGAACAACTCCTGGGTACTCATATTCACCTTTCAAAATGCTGCCTGAAAATCAGCATCCCTGAGGGGAAACTTACCTATCCAAAAAACACTGTGTTCCAGAATTAATGATTTTTGAAGAAGCGCTTTGTTTTCTGTAATTGTAGATTAATGTCTGTCCTTAAAAAACCTGCCTTATCTCTCACCTTGGTCCTTTTGGTTGCCTTCTGCTTGTGCTTTGTGGGGTAGATACAGCCAGAGGTTCTTGTGAATGAGGTTCCTGGGTGCAAACTCTGTTCACTTCCTGTTGGAAATGAGGCTGCATTTAAAGGTGTCGGTGATGGTACGTAGCAGTGGAGCTGATGGCCTGTGAGTCCCCCTCCAGCCTGCTCACTTGATTCCCACAGCATGCCCAGAAGAGCCTTTCCCCAGCACCAGTGCTGAGGGGGAAACCCAGAGAAGAGGAGTGGCCAAGAGCTGCTCCACAGTGTCTGCCAGAGAAGATGCTGGCGGCCTGGCTATTTCTACTGGTCTCCACATGGATGTACAAAGGGGAGAATGGGTGTTGTCTAGAAGGTGACATGGCCTCAGAACCCTTTCTCTGCCCTTTTCCATCCATGATGCATAACTGTTTGGAAGGCACCAGCTCTGCCATCTTGCCTTCTGGATATGAGTGAAATGCATGAAGTTGGATGATGTGGAAAGGATATTTGATTACTTAATAATGTGATAGACACTGAAATTGATAAATAATTTGCATCTGGTTATGGTTACGCAGTTAATATGTCTTCATTGTAGAAAGTACAGAAAAGTTCAAAATGCTGATTCTTTTTATAATTTTAATATTTTCTTTTTGAGACAGGGTCTTGCTCTGTCACCCAGGTTAGGGTGCAGTGGTGTGATCATAGGTCATTGCAGCCTTAAGCTCCAGGGCTCAAGTGATGCTCCCACCTCAGCCTCCAGAGTAGGTGGGACTACAGGCTTGTGCCACCATGCCTGGCTAATGTTTTTCCATTATTTTTAGGAGAGACACGGTCTTGTCCAGGCTGGTCTTGAACTCCTGGGCTCAAGCAATCTGCCCACCGCAGCCTCCCAAAGTGCTCAAGTTACAGGCATGAGCCGCTTCACTCAGCCTCCACTGCTTATTTAAGGAGAGCTTTCTAATGTGTCCTAACCTTCACGTTTCTTCATTTCTTCTTGAAGAAGCCGTCAAGACTACTTTAATCTTACTTTCTTGTTTCACCTTTTAGCTAACTTTTCCTGTTTGCTGAGGGTTTATAGCAGACAAGTCTTTGTAGTTGGACAGATCCATTTCCTAGATATGTGACCTTGGGCAAGTTATACCGCCTCCCCGAGCCTCAGTTTCCCCATCTGTAAAGTGGAGAGAATAATACCTGCCCTGAGGTTCACTGTGAAGCTTGATGAGGATTGTGGGGAGTGGGAAGCCCTGAGAGGTAAAAGGTGTGAAGTCAGTGCTGTCTTTTTTCCCTTCACTGCCCCTCACCCTTCTCTGTTCCACTTCTCTTAGTCCCATCCTCCTTCTTAAAATTCTAGGCAGTTCAGTTTCTAGCAGATCAAAAAAAGAAGCTCATTCCCTGGGTATGAGAAAAATACCAACATTTATTGAACATCTACCACTACTGGGCATTTTGCTGTCTGCTTTACATAATAATTGCAATCCTTGAGACAGCTATGAGAATCAGTTTCCTATCTCATGGGGAGCTGAGGGTGGGTAGCCTACGGGGGTCACATGTACCTCTGAATGCCTGCTTGCCCTCACCCCCACTTCCACGGTGTATAGTCAGGACCCCTAAGCGGTACTGGTGGTGGGTTTATCATGCCACACAGTTGAGTTTCTCTCCCATAATCACTGTCTCATGTGGCCCTTCTGAATCAGAAGAAGCCATATTCTGCTACCTAAAATTGCTCATGCATTATGAGGGGAAAGGATGGAGCCATTGTGTGGGGGTGGACTTTGGCCTTTTATGTTTACCTACTGGGTTTGCCTGTGTGTATAATGTTCATCATGGTGACAATGGGTATTTTTCCCATTGCACATTTGATAACTTGCGTCTCAGATCCTAACTGGGCCTTTATCCAAAATTACATGCTCTTACATGCCTGTGATTATCTCAATAGGATTAACAGTTCCTTCTTCATAAAGATAATTGAGATCTCTCATGGTGGCATATTTTTATTACTGCAACAACATCTGCAGCCATCTCTTACTGCTTTCCAGTAACTGCTTTTTCACTTCCTTCTGAACAGGAAGTGTTCAGGGATCACAGGGAGGCAGGATTCTTCTGTGGTTATGCAAACCTTGGTAACCATTGTGCATTTTTTCTCCCTTCTCCTCATGGTAGGTGCCTGGAGATTTGAGTCAAACATCTGAAGACCAGAGTTTGTCGGATTTTGAAATGTAAGTCCACAGCCTGTGCTCACAAGGGGTCCTTTAGAAACTGGACTGTGTTGTTGGCTTCTGTTGCAGCAGACCTCGGGGGGAAACAGAAATCACTGTTGAGAACTACACAGGGTTGACGTGGTTCTTGTAGAGGTGGGAAGTGGTTTTGCTGCAGCCTCAGTGTGGCCCTCAGACATGTTTGATCTCCCTCTTGGGTATTTAAAAACATTGTTTTTTGGCCGACATTTAGAAGTTGGAAGATATCACATAAAAATTCAAATTTCCTTTATTTTCTTTAAAAATCAGATGCTCGTGCCTGTAAGGCCACAGTCCACAGGAGCCGAGTAAAAGCTGTCCCTTTCACACAGGCCATGTGCTGTCCTGTTTACCACAATCCCACTCTTGGCTGTTGCTGGGAAGTGACCAACTTCACTCATTTTATTGTCTGTGCAGCCCCGGGGTTATTGGAAACAACAATCGTTAGTGCCTTGGTTGGATTTTTGATTGTATTAGATTCTATGTGGTGCCTCTGCTGAGTACCCCTAGGGAGAGGTTAGTTGGCCAGCAGCCTTTTTTTTTTTTTTTTTGAGATGGACTCTCCCTCTGTCGCCCAGGTTGGAAGGCAGTGGCACGATCTCGGCTCACTGCAACCTCCACCTATGAGGTTCAGATGGTTCTTCTGCCTCAGCCTCCTGAGTAGCTGAGATTATAGGCACACACTATCATGCCTGACTAATTTTTGTATTTTTACTAGAGATGGGGTTTTACCATTTTGACCAGGCTGGTCTCAAACTCCTGACCTCAGGCGATCCACTCACCTCTGCCTTCCAAAATGCTGGGATTACAGGCATGAGCCACCATACCCAGCCAATTTTTGTTCAGGATCTCTTGGGTTTTGGATAAATAGATACTACTTAAGCTGGAAAATAAAATGGGATAAGTTTCCTCCTCTCTCATTCCCCTCTGACAAATGTAGGGTTCAGCCCCCCGGGAAGAAAAGCCCAGGAAAAGCCCCTTCTAGAGCAGGCAGGGCTGGGCCTTGGAAAGAGCATTTCTTCAGAGCCAGGCTGCCTTTGTTGAAATCCCAGGCATCAGTCCAGCCATTTATCCTCACTGGGCCTCACTTTCCTCATTTGTGAGGTGAAGATCCTGATGCAAACCTTGCAGGGTGTGTGTTGGCAATGAAAGTGAGATTATGGAAGGCATGAGGCCATCCCAGGGCCACTGGATGTTATGGTGGCTGCTGGGGTTGGGGCTGGAGGTGGCTGTTAGGCTGATAGGGTGGAGAGGCTGAGGTGGGTGAGAAGTGAAGGATGAACATCAAAGGTGAATATGCCCGCTGTGGACTTGTGGGCAGGGGGAGCACAGTGTGAAGAGGATCCTGGAATGGCAGCCCGGTGGAGGGCAGCCATGGAAAGAAACTGGGAAGACAGGAGAAAGCCACAGAGGGGAGTCTCAGACACAAGGTTGGAAGCACTCATTACAGCAAGAATTCACCCAGGTCCTGTGGCAGGCCAGTGTCCAGGCAGGCTCCCAATAAGGGGAGATGAATTAGCCATGGTCCCTGCCTGAACCAGGCCACACTGTCTGTCTCTCCCCAGAGATTTAGAACCTCCCGCAAGCAGTTTCTTCATCTACACTAAAGCCAGAGGCAGGAATAGCACCATTTCCCTCTCAGCACGGAGACCAACATCCTTCATGGAATGAAGAAGGCCCTCACTCACCTCTGGCTCATCCCCAGCTTTTCCCATTCCTCTCCCTGTACCAGCCACCCTGGCAATTCCACTCATCTAACCCACGTGGTCTTTTCCCTTTTGGATTATTATTTTATCCACTTAACCCTCGTGTACACAGGATCACCTCTGTGCTGGGCATTGTTCTCGCTCACTTAGTCCTCACAACAACCTTTAGAGACGGGTGTCACCTCACAGATGATGAAATGGAACCAGGATGTAAACACAGGCAGTCCCGGTCTAGACTCAGTGCTCTTCACAGATGCTCATGCCCCTGCCTGAAGCACCTTTCTCAGCTGCAACTTCCCTTCCCCAACTTGGCTAACTCTAAATATCCCTTAAAGCCTGGCCCAAACATTGCTGCTTCAAAGAAGCCTTGTCTGGTGTCCCAGACCAAAGCAGGCCCTGGAAGTCACTCTCCGTAGATCTGGTGTTCCTTGATGGCACTTAAAATAGTAGTAAACAATTTCTCTGTAACAACTATAGGCATATATGCACCTGACAACAAAGATTCAAAACATATGATCTGAAAAATCAACAGAAATGAAAGGAAAAACAGTTGTACAATAAGAGTTGACTTCAGTACCCCACTTTTAATAATGGATAGAATAACTAGACAGAAGGTCAGTAAGGGGATAGAAGATTTGAACAACATGAAAAGCCAATGAGATATAACAGACGTATATAGAACACTCCACCAAATAACAGCAGAATGCACATTCTTCTCAAGTGCACATAACTGTCCAGGAAAGACATATGTTAGGCCACAAAACCAGTCTCAATACGTTTTTAAAAATTGAAAACATACTAAGTATCTTCCTTGACCACAATAGAGTTAAAATATATATATATATATATATATATATATATACATACATACATACATACATACACCCCCCCCCCACACACACACACACACTGGAGTGCAGTGGTGTGATCTTGGCTCACTGCAACCTCTGCCTCCTGGCTTTAAGTGATTCTTCTGCCTCAGCCTCCCAAGTAGCTGGAACTATAGGCGTGTGCCACCATGCCTAGCTAATTTTTGTATTTTTTGTAGAGACAGGATTTCACCATGTTTACCAGGCAACTCCTGACTTCAGATGATCCCCCTGCCTCAGCCTCCCAAAGTGCTGTGATTATAGGTGTGAACCACTGCACCCAGCCCACAACAGAGTAAATTTTATGGAGATTTGTCTCTCTCCCATGTTAAAATGAATGTTTCATGAAGAAAGGGGCAATGTCTGCTTTTACTGCTCTGTCTCTAGTACCCAGGGCAATAGCTTCTCAGTAAGTGCTTGTTTAGTGAGTGAGTGAGTGAAGGAACAAAATGATGAATGAATGAACTAACACCTCAGAAGGAGATGGTTATGTAAACAGTCAGTTCTGATTCAGTGTAGTCACTGCACTGAAAGAGAGAACCATGTAATCCAGGCTGGGGGTAACCTTGCTCTAACCCTGGGAGGTTGTCCAGTCCTCTCCAATCCAGGGAAGTTAATAAAAACCAGAGTGCTAGTTATATTTCTGCCTTGTAGCCTGGCACAGAAATGAAAGGGGAATGTTATAGGCACTAATACAATTTCAGGGACCTTTCCAGGAGGAAAGTGATTAGATACACAAACCAGTTTTGGTGGCTCAGGATTGCAACGTACAAATTGCATTGAGCCCTGGGGAAGTGATCAGTGGGGTTTAATTTACCCCTCAAAGGAGGTCAGCACCTCAGCTGAGAGATTAGAAGAAATGCTGCTGCAGGAGAGAACCATTACCTGAAGGGTTATTTTCATTGTGAAAATGAAATGGTCTTTACTCTAGAGGTTGTGAGAACATTGAATAGTGGAATCTTCCATCACTGGTGTCTCAAATTGTGTTCCAAGCCCAGAAGGCTGCGGAGTTTTTATGAGCTGCTCTTTAGAGAGAAGGAGAGCTCAGGAGAAAGCATTTAGCCCTGCAACAGCTCTAATCAGAGGTGAGGCTGGGACCTTCCAGCCCTTCCAGAATGGTACACTACCATTTTTATAATCACTGCAGTTGATCTTGAAGTTTCAGGGACAGTCAGCTTATTATCTCTGTGTAATTTGGATCCAGCCAGGTGCAAATCTGATAGTGGCATGTGTGTATATACCTAGTGACTTACCAGTTAAGTTTAAAGTCATCACATAAGGCAAAAGAGTGACATAACCAAAATACCTCTTACACATGCATCAAATAGCCCATGTGAGGAATAAATGATTTTACTATAGGTAGAAGCATGGAGCCATGTTTGGTAGGTACTCAGTAAATTATTTTGCATTTGAACTTAAACCTTGCTGTATTAGACCCATATACTTGGCATTTTTGGAAAAGTTGAAGGAGAGGTATTTGTACCCATCAGCCTGGTGTTCTAACTTGTCATTTTCTCTTGTACTTCCCTCCTCCTATGCTAAACAGCTGTTACCCTCTTTGCCATGAGTGTTGGTCTCCTGAGTCTGCTCTTAAGATTGGCTCAGGGTGTAAAGTCAGCTCAGTGAGGAGGCAGCATGCGTGCAGGGCACTCCAGAAACACTGGGCATTGCTGTGTGTGACCTCCCGTGATAGCTTCCTCGGGGCTTCCAGTTATTATCCTCATTTTCAGATGTGGAGACTGAGGTTCAGATACATTATGGGCCAGATCACTCCCTGAGAACTTTCTTATTCCGGAGAACAGATTGCGTATATATGAGAGAGGGAGAGGTTTAGTGATAGGACTTGAACTTGTCCTTTATCTTGCTGTCAGTTGTGACGTAGGTTGTCATAACTTGCTTGTGCATAATACCTCTTATAGGAGAAAATTGTCTCCTTTTCTCTCTTTTTTTTTTTTTTTAAATGAGTTAAAATGCCCAATATTGGTCTCTCTCTTTTGGTCAGATCAAACCGGGCGCTGATCAACGTCTGGATCCCCTCAGTGTTTCTCCGGGGCAAAGCAGCGAATGCATTCCACGTGTATCAGGTGAGTGGCTTGGTTTTCAGGTGGACCTTACAGCTGGATGGAAAGGCGCCCATTTGTCCTGCTGTGGTGCTTTGCCTCTTGGTGGTGAGGCACTGTGATTAGGAGGCGACGGCCCTCCAAACACCCACATCTTAACTACCGAGAGGCTTTGCAGAAGAAGTCTGTGGCTTTCAGTTGAGCAGGAAGATACGGTGGGCCTCTTCATGCCAGTTAGGCCTCTTAGTGTGGCTGCTGCAGAATCTCAGCTCAGACAGCTTGAGCAGAGACGGAGATGGGTTGGCTTGTATTGCATCTGAAAAGTCCAGGAGTAGGTCAGGCCTCAAGCACGGCTGCACCTGCCCTCAGGAACCTGCCGCTGTCTCCTGTGTCTGCTGCTCAGTGACCCTCTCTGGCTAGCTGTCTGTGGGTTGACAGGATGACCCCAGCAGCGCCAGGTTCTCAGCCTGTCTGGATCGGCGGGTCTCAGTGGTCTGTCTTGGATCTCGAGCCTCTTCCTATACCTTGGGTTTGGCTGATGGACTCTGACTGGCCTGATTCAGCTCATATGACTACTGCTGGACCCGGGGAGGGCGTTTACCTCATCTGACCACATGTCTGACAATGAGGAAAGGAGATTCCCCAAATCAGAACCAGAGAATTCTTTCCAAAAGAAGGGACAGCGGATACTTGACAAGCAGAACCTGTAGACACCGCCTCTGCTTTCTTGGGGTACTGATGGCCACAGCCAGGTGGGCATTCAGTGTCTGGGGTGGCAAGATGTGTATCTGTAAGAGGTGATTTTGCCCAATCAAGGGGATGCCAGTTCTCCATCTTCTCTCTGATTTTCTGAGGCTTCTTTTAGCCCTGCCCACGCCCTGTCTGCATGTCTGTCTGTCTTCTCCTCTCTCTTACCATGGACTCTGATTTCCAGGCTTTTGTGCGCCCTTGTTCTGGGACTGCTTTGTTCTCAGTGCTGAGCCCCAGCTGCTTCCTGCTTCTTCTGTCCTCTTGTGCTAAAATAATTGTCATTATGTTTTGTTTTATTCCCCATGAGCTCTTTGCAAATCCTTGGATTTTGTTGCCATCTTTCTTAGTGAGAAATTGACTTATCGAAGAAATCTTCTTGGCTGATAAGATATTTTTCCCCAAAGAGCAGCGTGGTGAAGAAAGGGCACTGAACTTGAAAATGGAACCCCTGGTTTAAATCCTATGACCTTAGATGCATCTTAGTTTCTTCAGCTGTAAAATGGAAACAGTAATCTATCGTGTAAAACTGTTGTGAGATTAGAAATACCTGGCATGCAGTAGACACTCCGTATTCATTTCTCACCTGCTTGGTCTCAGGTCTAAGCAGAATATGCTCATCTTACTGAAATTTGCAGGAACAGATGAGCTAGACTTTGGCCCAAGAAGGTTGTTTTTGTTTACATGTTCACCTGGGCAATAGTCAGAGGAGAATCTTGTGTGTTCATGTTGTTCTCAGCTTCGGTTTAAAAAGAGAATTTGGTATTATGGATTTTCAAAAATCCTCTTCTCTTTGTCCTTTTATCCCCCCGAACCTAATTCTTTATTTGAATGTCCTTCAAGTTCTGCTTTGTGGTCATGAGAGTGCTGGAAGGTATAGCCTGGAGGATGAAAAACATGAAGCAGATAGCTTTATCTTAGAGCAAGATTAAAACATGACATCACTTGAGACGTTTCCTTGACCTTTCAGTTTTGACATTTTCCCCCATTCACCCCATGAAGCAACCTGGCAAGTTTCAGCTCCTGAAAGTCAGCTATGAAATGAGATGGACCTTAGCAAATATGCCGTTGCCTGGGTAATTGTTTCCACAGTGGCCACTGTGGCCGTGAAGCCACTCTCTCCCTGTCCTTTACTGTGTGAAGCTCTTCTGGGCACGACCCTGCTTCCAGCCAGCCGCAGGCCTGGCCATTCCGCATTATGGGGAGCAGCCTCACTCCATGAACCTTTGGCCTTCTGCAACCCTCTGATGTTGGGGGATGTGAAGTTGTATCTCTTGCATGCAATTATTTTTCTCTTTCTAGCAAATGATGCTTCTGATTGGTGCCTGCAGAGCAAAATCAGAGCCTATGGAAGCATTTTAGAAAGGCTTTACTGCCATGTTTTTACTTTATATAGATGATACTACATAGAAGGTTAGTCATTTAAAATACTGGTACTGTTGAAGAGTACTTTTTTTTAGAATTTAAAAAAGTAGGGCTGGGCACAGTGGCTCAAGCCTGTAATCCCAGTACTTTGGGAGGCCGAGGCAGGTGGATCACGAGGTCAAGAGATCGAGACCATCCTGGTCAACATGGTGAAACCCCGTCTCTACTAAAAATACAAAAAATTAGCTGGGCATGGTGGTGCGTGACTGTAATCCCAGCTACTCAGAAGGCTGGGGCAGGAGAATTGCCTGAACCCAGGAGGCCGTGGTTGCGGTGAGCCGAGATCGCGCCATTGCACTCCAGCCTGGGTAATAATTGCGAAACTCCGTCTCAAAAAAAAAAAAAAAAAAAAAAAAAGAATTTAAAAAAGTATGCTGGCAGGGCGTAGTGGCTCACGTCTGTACTCCCAGCACTTTGGGACGCTAAGGCAGGTGGATCACCTGAGGTCGGGAGTTTGAGACCAGCCTGGCCAACATGGTGAAACCCCGTCTCTACTAAAAATACAAAAAGTAGCCGGGCAGGAGGCTGAGGCAGGAGAATCACTTGAACCTGGGAGGCAGAGGTTGCAATAAGCCAAGATCATGCCCTTGCACACCAGACTGGGTGATAAGAATGAGACTCTGTCTCGAAAAAAAAAAGTATGCTATTTAATTCCAAAAATGTTGTGAGATTTTGAGAAAATTTCTAGAGAAACAGCTAGAAAAGAATGATAACATAGAAGTAAAAAAATATATCAGAGAAAATGTCAACTAAGAGTTTAAAAGGAAAATGTAGAAACCATATGTATATGTCATGAGATTCTACACAATTTCTCTCATTGATTTATGAATTTCCTGTGGGCTTCCTGGCAGCCATTGTGAAAGGGAAATGTGGTTGTTTGAATAATTCAGTTGCTAATCATAAGAAACTATGTTAATTCCTCAAAAGAAGCTCTAAAAGAAATTTCCACACAGGGTTTGAGGTTAAACAAGAATAAACGATAGAGTAGACCATCCTCAACTACATTTCTGTGGCAGTCACTGTCTGGTTTTGTAAGATTTCCTTTATCTTACAAGGGCCTAACCCTAAAGTGAATATAAATTCGATTGGAGAGCCAAGACATATAGCTCTCTCAGTAGAGCTCTGCTGTCTGGTACCAGAGCTCCTAGACACATGTGGCTCTTGAGATTTGTATTGATTAAAATGAGGCTTGGTGATTAAAATGAGTCTTGGTGCGGTGGCTCATGCCTGTTATTCCAGCGCGTTGGAAGGCTGAGGTGGGTAGATCACTTGAGGACAGGAGTTCGAGACCAGCCTGGCCAACACGGTGAAACCCCATCTCTACTAAAAATACAAAAAATTAGCTGGGTGTGGTGGTAAATGCCTGTAATACTAGCTACTAGGGAGGCCGAGGCAGGAGAATCACTTGAACCTGGAAAGTGGAGGTTGCAGTGAGCTGAGATCACACGACTGTGCTCCAGCCTGAGTGACAAAGTCTCAACCAACCAACCAACCAACCAACCAAACAAACAAACAAAAACCTGGCCATGATGAGTCACGCCTGTTTTCCCAGCACTTTGGGAGGCTGAGGCAGACCAATCACAAGATCGGGCAATTGAGACCATCCTGGCTAACATGGTGAAACCCTGTCTCTATTAAAACACAATAAATTAGCCAGGTGTGGTGGCACGTGCCTGCAGTTCCAGCTACTCGGGAGGCTAAGGCAGGAGAATCGCTTGAACCTGGGAGATGGAGGTTGCAGTGAGTGGAGATTGTGCCACTATGCTCCAGCATGGCGACAGAGCAAGACTTCGTCTCAAAATAAATAAATAAAATGAAATGAAAGATTCGGCTCCTCAGTCACACCAGCCACATTTCACATGCTGAGTAGCCACACGTGGCAGTGGCTCCTGTTCTGGACAGCACAGATCTAGAACATTTACCCAGCACAGAAAAGTCTGCAGAGTGGCTGCCCTGGAACAAGCTCTCCCAGTGGGTGGGATGGCAGGATGGTGTTGTATGTGCCAAGTCAGTGTTTAGAAGGACTACACTGGCCATTAAAGGCCACATCCTGCAGGGAGAAGGGCCCCCCCTTTTCAGCTTGTCATGGCTTCCCGCTCCTTGGGGGAGAGAGTCCCTGTGTCACTCTCTTAACCTCTCATGTCCCTCTGATCTTTCTTCTTAGGAAAAGCAGGAATGCTGGGGTCAATGCCTTTGGCAGGCAGCAGGCTTAATGTTAATTCGATTGTTTTGTTTTCTTTCTTTGCATTTTTATATTTGCCTCCTAGTTATGACACACAATTCTATTTTTCCACTTAACCATGGTGATATACAGTCCCCTTGTAAAATATATTTTAGGTGAAAAGGAAATGAATCAGCTTTAAAAATGCTACTAAATAAACAATTGTGAAAATAGTCCAAAGTTTAGCAAGGTGCTCTGTGAATGATTGATACTTGGGTAACACCGAAATAAAGGAACAGATAGACTGTGATTAATGAAAACCAACATAATAACTAATAGCCACCTCTCACTGGTTTGTGTGTGTTGTGTAATAGCTCATTCAATCCTTGTAGCCACCCTGTGGGGTAGGAAACTCTTATTCTCATTTTTTAGGTAAAGAAACAAAGACACAGAGAAGCTTGTTTACTGACATGTTTTCAGCCCCCAACGCAGTCTCTGACAAGGTCCTGGTCTATAGAGAGTCCACGTTACTGAAAGACGGTAGAATCAAGGTCTTTAAAAATCCTAAAAACAATTTTGCATGATGGCATTGGTTGTAGTTCCAGCAACTCCAGAGGCTGAGATAGGAGAATTGCTTGAGCCTAGGGGTTCGAGGCTGCAGTGAGCTATGATTGCATCTCTGAATAGCCCC